TCCACTGGAGGAGGTGAGTTCAGAGTCTGCCTATGCCGCCATCTTGACTCCGCCTCCCCATAAAAAAAGGACAATTGTAATTGCAAAAAACTTTGAGCACTAATCAATACATAGCAACATCTAATCTGCACAATTATGTTACTGTTTTAATAAAAAGAGAACAGATATTAGTAAGAGATCTAAACATTTCCCTTTAACGTTTTTGCCAGTGAATCTACGACTTTCTTATTTCTCAGGCTGTAGATAATTGGATTCAAAAAAGGAATGATGACAGTGTAAAATAGAGAGTCCATCATATCTTGGTCACCTCCCTGTGCAGATCCAGGACGCACATACATGAAGAGAAGAGGGCCATAGTACAAAGAGACAGATAGGAGATGGGCGCCACAGGTGGAGAAGGCTTTCCTGATGCCTTGTACAGACTTCCTTTTTAAGATTGTAAAGAGAACAAGTGTATAAGAGACAAGAACAGTTAGAATGGTGAACACCTGTATTAACCCTGCGAAAATGATGACTATCAGAAAATTAATAGAAGTGTCAGTACAGGAAACCTTAAACAATGGTATAATGTCACAGTAAAAGTGATGTATTATGTTGTAATTACAGAAGGTTAATCTGAATAAAAAACCTATATGAATTAAGGCATGAAGAAGGCCACCTAAAAATGACAAAACTAATAGCCTAATGCATAGTCTATTGGACATAATCACAGGATAAAGTAAAAGTTTGCATATGGCCACATAGCGATCATATGCCATTGTTGCCAGCAGAAAACACTCTGTAGTTACACTGATTGCAAAGGAAAAAAATTGTATCACGCATTCAGAGAGAGAGATCATCTTACTTGTGGCAAAGAAGTCGACCAGCATCTTAGGGATCACTGTGGATGATAATGAAGCATCCACAAGAGCCAAACTCCCAAGGAATAAGTACATGGGGATGTGAAGTTGAGGGTCTTTCCATATGAGAGCAATCAGAACAAGGTTCCCCACGATGGTGATGAAATATATAACCAAGAACACCAGGAACAGGGGGATTTGCCATTCTGGTTCATATGTAAGTCCTGTGAGAAGAAACTCTGTCAGCAACGTTGCATTTTCCTTTTCCATGTCCTCACTGGGTGCTGCCTGAAATGATGTGGAGTAAATGAAAAGTATATATCACTGAGGATTTATAATGTGAATATAGGGCAGAGGAGAGTTGAAATAAATTAACCAGTGATTAAAATTTTTAGAAGAAAATTTCAGAATTTTCCCTTACTTCTGTTTATTACCTCCAAAATAAATGGAATTTATTTGGTGGGAATTCAACAAATGGAAAAAAATGCAATAATTTCAGTTCCAGAAATCTTCAGCAATGAACAGATTTAGAGATAAAGGAAAGTCATTGTAAATATGTGCTAAATTTGTGAGGATACCATTGAGTGTGATAGGGAAATTCTGTGTGGAACTTAGATGTCAGGTCAAGGGAACAGAAATCTGAAGGGCCTGGGTAATGGAATGAATCCAACAGCATGTGACGGCTCTTGAACTTTATTCCTCAGGCAAAAGCATGCACTGAAAACTTAAGAGATGTGTGGTGGTGCTGTAAGATATGTTTGAAAATAAATACATGGCAGTGTAGAAAGTAGGCTGCTGGAAAGGGAATTTGGAGTCTGGAATACCAGGTAGGAAGCTGACACTCCTGTCCAGTGGTTCTCAAGTCAGATTACACATCAGAACTGTCTGAGCAATTGTTTGTGCAAATATAGATTGTGAGGTATCACTGTAGAAATTGATTCAATGCATCAAGAATGGAGTCTAATATTTGCATTTTAAAAATCCTTTCCAAGTGAATCAAAGGCATGTCAAGTGTCTAGTCAATGAATGACATTGGGAGTGATGAGGAGGAGTGAGAGATAGATGCAAAAGAATTCAGAATGGAGGGTCATTAGGACCTGCTGACATATTAGATGGGAAGGGGGTGGTGAGTGAAGGAAAGATGAGTCAGTTGATGACTGAGTAGATGGTCATCAAATATTGAGATTGAGGGGCCGTCCTGGTGACACAGTGGCTAAGTTTGGTGGGCTCCACTTTGGCAGCCCAGGTTCATGGGTTCTGATGCCAGGCTGGACCTACACCACTCATCAAGCCATGCTGTGGCGGTGACCCACATACAAACTAGAGGAAGATTGGCACAGATGTAAGCTCAGGACGGATCTTCCTCACCAAAAAAAAACAAGATTGAAACTCAGATGCAGTGGCCAGCATGTGGATTGTCCTCTGAACATCCAGGTGAGATACCTCAGCAGTACCATTTGACTAGAGCTTAAGAGAAATGATGACTTTGGAGTCACTGGGAGGGCTTAAGGTATATTTATTGATAACCTATCCACTTGAGAGAGTGCCTAAATTAAAGAGAAGAAGGGCATGGAAAGAAACTTGAGGAAGTTTATTAAAGAGGTTATAAAGTGGATACACAGCATATATTAGATGGCCAACATCTGATCCCCTTTTTTACCCCATATCTTGACGGCTGGCAGAGGTTACCACCAAACCTGAAGCCAAAAGAGCTAGAAACTGACTTTCTCATTCCCTGTGCACCTGGAGTGAGGGGACGTGACCTAGATTTGGCAAGTCAAGCCCACTCAGCTTACATGTAGAATATGGAAAGAGGGAGAAAAAGGTACAGGGAGAAGAGAATATTGGTCACAAAGGCAGCAATAGGAAAACTCCAGCAAATGCATCCTGCACCCACAACAAAGGCATTGTCAGTGTGAGCTGCCTTCCAGGGTCAGCAGCAGTGACAGTGGCTCTCATTGAGTTAGTGAGGGGACACGATTTGGGCTGTTGGTTGGCCTTTTTGCTTTCTTCTGTTCTGCCCATTTTTTCAGCTGATTCCTCCAATCTTTCTTGCATTTCTGTTGTTAGAGCCAATTTCCATTCAATTAACTCATTTCCTGTTGCAACCAAGGAAAGAAAGAAAGACTACAGCTCACAGCAAAGAAAGACTGGGGAGACACCAGATAAGGATACTGAGCAGAGCGATCAGAGACGCAGGAAGAAGATGGGACAGCTGAGCTGCTGTGGACTTAGAGGGAAAGACGCTCAGGAAGAACGAAGGAAAGTACACGTGAAATGCCAAATAAATGCTCTAGTAGGACAAGGAGTGCTCAGAGTTCACTGAGTGTGGATGTTAAGACATTGGTTGTGGCTTCAGTGAGAGCAGTTTCCATTTTGTGATAGACGTGAGGCCAGAAAATCATGAGAAGTGAAAGGGAAACCAGTGGGTGGAATGATACGGAGAACTCCAAGAAATGTGGGAACAGTTGGCATTTCTCTACTTCTAGACACCTGTAGGGTTATTTTTCCTCTGGAACATTTTAATAAAAGTTTTCACAAGAGAGGAGAGGAGATAAGGCATGGAGATGAGAGAGGGAACAGAAGTGGGAAGGAAATATGCAAGAAAACAACACGGAGGTGAGTGAAGACGGAAAATAACAGAGACAGATGGTCAGTGCAGGAAAGACCAGGAAGTGGGAGAGAGGAAGTCACTGAAAGGCTGAGGGGAAGGGAGGGGCGGCTCCGAGGTTGGGGTGAATGTTTGTCTTCACCCTGGTGTTCCTTAAGGTTGTCAGTCCTGAGAATCTTGTTTTTTTTTTTCCTTTTTTAAAAATCCAAAGTTTATTTCCTATGGAATTTGTATATAAAAAAGAGACTGATTTTGTGTTAAATTTTGTGTTGATAATAAATATATTGGCACTACTCAAAAGCTCTTTCCATATTTAAAAGTTGCTTTCTCTCTGTTGTTACAGCGATTAGAACTGACCTGCCACTTGTTCTACTCTAGAGCACTCTCCTCTCCACCAGGTGTGGGGGTTTGTTTGTTTTGGGGGTTTCTTCTTAGGGGAATAAAACTGAGCAGAAACAGGATCCTGAGTACCGACAATGCAAATAATAAACGTCAATAATTCTAGGTGTTAAGTAGATTTTCATATGGAATGGCCTTCCTTTCCTGCAGTCCCAATCACTAAGTAATTGAAAGCCCTACAATTTACTTTGTGTGTGGGTACTTATTGAGTCATAAATGCTGGAAAGCAAGGTGGAGGGACATTTTCTACATATTACCTGATATACATCCTACGTATATATCCTACATATACATATATATCAGTAAATATACATATACATAATTATATATGCTAATATATATAGCTATATATATAAATATTTAATGATCTCTATGTATGTCCACTTACATTCTATAATACATACATATATTTCTATGTTACATATACAAATACTCAATAAAATTATTGTCAGAAGTGGGTGAAGGGTTAGAGGAATTAATATTTCAGTGATTTACCTTACAAGTTCTAATCACTGGTTAATTAAACAGAATGGGTCTTACTGTCAGAATCAGCAGAATGATCTCTTATATAAGAATCAAATGACCAGAAACTTTAAACCCACTTTTAAATTATTTAACTTTCTAGTTTACCAAAATCTGTTTAAAAATCATCATACTTAGGTCAACAAAATAATAAAAAATCCATAAAGGGAACAATTCAGTCTTACAGCTATTTTGCATATCCTAATTTTAGTCATAAAATAAAATACACAATTAATTCACTATTTTCTCTCCACTTCCACTAAGCTATTTTGATATCTTATAACCAAATCTAAAATTATTATAAATAAAACCATATGTTAAATTTTCTCTGTAAAGAATACTGGATGTTATAGAATTCATTTTTATCTTACCCATATCTTGTAAGAAACTGTGGAGATCCATTCGAAGAGTTAGACTTTCTAAAGCAGAAAAATACACAATAGCACAGGAATGACAATAACATAGGTAGCAGTGCTTTGCACACTGATTCATTTTGGGAACTTCATTTCCCAGCTCAGGAAAATGTTGTTTATATTAATTTGATTTGAATATGACTCAACCAATTGTACAACTGGGTGCTTTTGCCAGAAAAGGAAGGAGTGAAGAACTAAAAGTCCCCTGATATCACCCAAGGATTCACTTTGGGACAAAGCTAAGCTGTTCATCTGGGCATTGTAGACTTGGACATGTGTGAGAAGTCCAGGTTGTCCCTCAGGGCATTACGGACTCTGAAATCATGAACATCAAGTCACTGTAGACAGTGCTTTATGCCACTATTTTCTACCACAGATGACATTTCTGACATGTTTATATAAACTCCAGTTTATCTATAAATTTTGATGCTCTGAGTGCTTTGATTAGTATGGTCTTGACTGCTCTATCGTACATGATTTTAATGGCTTCAGGAGCCAACCACAAGAAAGTTGTCCTCCTCATGCAACCTGCAGCTCACATTCAGACCTGAACCTAACTCCCCACTTTAAGGTGAAATCTGATGAGAAATTATACTGGGCAAAGTTCAGGGAGGAGCAAAGGGAGGCCTGGATCTGAGCTTCCAAACTTTAATGCCTGTGAATCTCCTGGAGGTCTTCTTGAAATGCAGATTCTGTGTCAGAGGTCTGAGTGGGGCCTGAGGGTCTTCATTTCTATCAAGGTGATGCCTGTGGACACCTGCCATCCATAGGGCCTTCTTCACTGGAGGGCCTAGATTATCAGAGAGCTAGGTCACTGGAGCAGTTCCACATGGTAAATGTAGCTGGCGTGCCAAGAGAGAAGCAGGAGGAGCCAGGTGGTGCCCGGGAGGCCAGCAAGGGTGGGATCACATGGGTTCTGGAGGCCAGGTCAGGTGCTTTGTTCTTTACCCCTAATTAAAGGAAAACTATTGAGGGATTTCTAACATGGTGCTAAAGTGTTTGTATTTGCCTTTGGTGCATTAACAGAAATGTTTGTCAAGGAACACAGATTCTGAAAATTTATAACAATATTTATATCACAATGGTATAGTGAAAACCATACTAGGTTGGTTTCTTACTGAAGAGCATAAAAATGTTTATCATCCACCTGGCACTTGATTGGCAGCTACGGGAAATGCAAAGGACGCGTTTTTGGTAGACTCGTTAACCAATTATACCATGTCCTTAGAATTTTGCTAATGAAAGTCAAAAAAGAGGAGGAGAAAACAACATAGATGAAAGAGAAATCACTGTGAAAACTCAGCAGATGGGTGGAGTAAGTGGTGTGA